TGTTTTCCTTTTTAAAAATAATGAGATAAGTTGGTTCACTTAAAACTAATTATGTCACTTGTCCTTCCCTACATATTCTTTCCCTTATGTAAGCTGTCAATACATGATGAAATCGTCAATCATCACCCATCAAGTGACACCAAATGTTAAAACCTGCTTTGTCTTATTTTTAAACTACAGTTTTTCAGTGCAGAAAGTAAGTAATGTTTGTTTCAAAATATTTTAAATAAATATTATAATTTCTAATTTTCTTAAAATAAATTTTGAAAAAATAAAATTTTTAAAAGAATTTGAAATGGAGATTTTCATTTTATAAAATGGAAAATGGTTGACATGATCAATTATCTTATTTTGCTGATTAACCCTCCACCCCCAAAACAAGATTTTTAACAAAAATCCTGGACGTGCTAGGAATATATATATATTTGATCTTACATCTAAATAATAAAAATTTAGACAATAAAAAAATTATTTTTATCAAGTTTAAGGCCCTTTTCATTCATGTTATATAGCGATCCCATGGAGGATACACATTGAAAGTACTCGAGAAAACAAGAATTATTTAAAAGAAAATTTTGGAATTTTTCCTAATTTTCTGCAGCAACCAAGAAATTAATTTGTGGACTTGAAAGGATTAAAACTGAAATAAACTGACATAATCAATCTCTCTGTCCCCCCATTTATTTTTTATATATATATATATATATATATATATATATATATATATACACACACACACACACACATAGTGTAACCTGGATATAAGAGAGTTGTCGGGACCGGAGAAGAAGTCTCTTATATCCGGGTTTGGTCTATTTTATATACATTAACACAGGCTCTAATTTGGGACCAGAGAAAATCTCTTATATCAGGGTCTCTTATATCCGGGTTACACTGTATATAATATAAGAAGCCAGAGAAAATGGTTATTTCCCATGAGACATAAAATCAACAATTCTAGGCGTAGGTAGGTGACATTTTAGTCCCAAAAGTGGGTTAATTTCATTAAAATTCGTCTTGCCAATACTCAAAAGCAAATGTTAAATTTGAGGTTTTGTTATTTCATTTCTACCTCATATTAAAATATTCTGAATCTATTTCAATGAAAAGAATATCCAAAAAAAAAAAAAAAAAAAAAAAAAAAAAAAGGTAGAATATTGGATTGAAGGCTACAAGATACAAAAATCAGAGCAAAGAGGCAATGACTAAATTTCAGATATCTTTTAACAAAAGTACTCAACTCACTAATTGGGAGGGAACTCATGTTTCTAAAATATTTTCCAATAACAATCTTTATCAAGTAAATATTTGGAGTGGACTCAGACACTTCTGACAGCTTCAGAATATTGGAGACACAGGGAAAGCAGAAATGAACAGAGGGATCTAAAATCTACATTATTTATAGAAAACAAGATAGCTGCAGAATGTGTGCATATTAAAATTGATGATGCAAGATTTTTTTAAGGCACTCTACAATGAATAAAAAATTTAAAGAAAAACAATCAGCAGCACATCAATCAGCAAATGATAAGCTTAAGACAAATTTTTATAGACAAATATTTAATTGTATCAAGTAAGAGTGGCTTTGCTCATAAGGTTGATTTAAAACCTTGGCTGTCATTGATTCTATTACAGCAGCTAGGAGTACAAGTGCTCAGTTTGGTTTTGAACAAGGTAATTATTTATTTTACCTCACTCAAAAGCAAACTGACTATTTGTACATCTAGAAAGTTTACTGTACCTAAAGAATGAATAAGTTACAATAGAAATCACAATTTGGGCTTTCAACCACACCCAAAAAATAATCTGTGCCATTTACATTAATTGATGTTGTGAAGCGAATCAAGAGAAATCAATCTACAGGGTGACTAGTAAAAAGCGACAAATTTATACTCAGTTTTATCTTTCACAAATAATTGACCCTGAATAAATTTTCTTGAATATTCATAACTTTGAATAATTATCTGACTCTGACCTAATTACTTAACTCTGATTGGTTCTTTTATGATTGATTAATTGCTGTTCATTCTTGTGACCCATCACTTAAAGGTTATTTGCTAACAACTTTCATCTTTCGTTCTCATATGGCTAAACTCACTGACTTTGAGCATCAAGTTATCGTATTTTTCAAAGAACATCCCATGTGGGGATTGACGAAATGTGCATAATTTCTTACTGAATTTTTAAGTCACATCAGTTGTCACCAGTTTCCCAGTTAATGGCAGTAAAAAAAAACAAAAAAAAAACAATTGTTTCTCTTGACTCACCAACAGCCATGTAAATGGCATATTTTAAAGTATTTCCAAAGTACATTGGTTAATAATTTGCTATCTTATGAAACTAACTTACCTGTAAGTGAATAAAGTTACATTTGTATTGAAAGCTTGTATTTACTAAAATAAATGCTTATTATTAGTAAGACTAACAAAGCATTAGTTGGTGTAAGTTGAGATGACAAAAATCAACCAATGATGATTGGTCAATTGAATTAAATACAGCTTAAGAATTACCATTTGGTACCAGTCTTTGATTTGTTTTGAGCTGATTTCATTTTTTGTGATTAAAGTTTCATTTTGACCAATAAATGAATTGTGAATCATTTAAGATTTTGGAGAGAACAAGTGGAATCTATTTAAAAAGAAAATATCCAAGGTTCTAATTGCATAGTACCTTTCTTTCTTCTAATCCATTCAATAATGATTTAGGTTTGATTAATGACTTTGATATAAAAGTAATAAAAATGTATACGTAAACAGATTTTTGATTTTTTTTTCTCCAAAATAAATGCTTTCATCGATGTATGATGATACTTGAAAGGTAAGTGTTATGTGAAATAATGAAAAATAATGAAGACTGAAACATTTAGATTTTTACATGTTTTTCAGTACAACGTAACCTGTAGGCTAAACTACAGTGATGAAAATCTTATTTTCAAACATACCAGAGATCAAATCTTATTGCAAAGTGAAAAATTTATTTGGTATGTCTTGTAACTGCACCAAAATTAGGATATATTCTGGTACATTAAAATCAATATGGGATATGTAGCACCAGGCATTGTTTTCTTTATTTTAGCAGACAATATACTTTTGTTTTTTAAAAAAAAAAAAAAAAAAAGAAAAAAAGATTAATATTCCTGCTTGCATTTGTAAAAATTAAAGAACAGCAGTTTATCAATTTATTAAAATATTCAAGTGTTGTTTGAAACAAAAAATATTTATATCAAAAGCCTTAAGGTCATTTGAAATATAATGTAAGAATAAAATGCTTTATTATTTATTTTATGTTTATATAAGCTCCTTTTTTTTTTATCTAAATTTTCCATTGAAGTCAACCATGATAGTGAAATAAGTCTTTAAAATGCTAACAAAATGAAGGAAACTGAATTACATTCGCAATTGATTTTTGTGGAATCCTGCTTAAAAGAAAATCTTCAGTAATGCTAAAATCTCTATGGGGACATTTACTAATTATATATATTATAGATAAGTAATTACATGTCTATGGAGACAGATGCTCTACTTTATAAGCAATTCTGGATAGAGAAGAAAAAATAAAACATTAGAAATAAAAATTCTTTAACATGAAAGATATTTTTTTAAAAACTGAACACATGAAAAAAAAAAAAAAAAAAAAAAAATCATCTATCACTAGTTCAATGTCTTATCACCTTTGACGCATTAAATTTGGTAAAAGGAGTTCAAATGCAGTTAGAACAAATAACCTAGACATCGGTTTAAAAACATTTGATTTTCAAGTGGTAAATAAAATGAAATAATGAACCCGTTTCAAACATTTCGTTACTGATCTACATGAGAACCAAGTGTAGAGAGACACGACACGAAATCTAATCAAGTATTGAATATTTTTTCCTATCCTGCAAATAAACATTTTGTTTTTCTTAAAATATTGGAAATATATGTAACCTGTTGATAAACACTATCAGGCCAACTTCTACTTGAATACATCAAAGTACTTCTGACTAAATATTTCTTCCAGAATTGGGAACAAAGAGTTTTAATCACCTGAATAGCCTCTCCAGATTAAAACTTGGAGGGGTTAGAAGGGAAAAAAGTAATGTCAAATGTATGACAATTTGCCCCCAAATCAAGGAAATAATGCATTATTTTTTTTTTTTTTTTTTAATAAAATTACATCAATGTTGTCAAAGTTTAAATAATTAGAAGTTATTTTGCAATAAAAAACAATGATTCTATGCTAATAAAATATGTAAATTTTGATAATTCTATGTTAAAATTAGTTATGTAATGACTTTGTAATGCTGCAGAATTTAGAAACTATTCAAAAATTATCTAATATGTGCCTATAAAAAAATTGAAAAAATATTTTTAATTTGAGAGATCAAAACTTTAACTTGAATCAACATAACATAGCTCAAAAGTAAGAGTTCACCAAGTGTATAGGTCATCAGATGTTTAAACCATTTGAAAGCAATATACAAAAATTTAAACCTGAATATTATGATTTGTAAGGGAGCATTTCATTCCTGTTTCACAAATTCCATAACTCAGTTTGGTAGGAATGAACTAAAGAGATTTTTAATGCCTAAATCATTCAAGCAGAATATCACAAAAACAAGCAAAAATACTTTTTTTTTTTTCATTTAATATGTAAGCAATTTTGTTTCCTGACTATATTTTAATTAATATGGATTGAAATAAATCCTTTAACTATTCATTAATTTTAATATTATGGAGATACCTAAAGAACAAATATTAAAATTTATCATATAATTTAAAAAAATGTAATAGTCCAGGAAAAGTACGTGATTTTGTGACACTTCAACAGAGGTTTGAAAAAATTGCAAGTAATTATAGCCATTATTAAATCTATGTAATAAAAAGCGATCTGTAACATAACTCTTAATGGATAACAAATTTCACCCCCAAATATTTCCCAACAAATTCCCTTCTTTGCTGCTGTCCATTCTTGCTTGGTCCAAATGCAGTTTGAAGTGGATGTGTCCATTTTGGAGGGTTTTACTTTTTTTTCATTTGAATTTGTCTCTGTCCCTGGATCACAAGGAGACCAGCCACACCTAGCAACAAGGGGGTGTACCACATAAACAACATCCACATATGTTCCACTTTAGGATAACCTTCCATTATATTGCCATACAACAACACTGCCATTATCAACATTGTAGTCTGCAAATAAATAAAAAATATATATATATATATATATATATATATATATATATATATATATAAGGTTAAGGAAAAGTCATTTGAAAGAGCAAGTTGAATACAATTTTAGGTAGAAAAAGAAAAATTACAAGTAGTCTATCATGAAAAAAAAAATTAAAATATACATATAAAAATATATAAAAACAATGTGTGCATATAAATTTTCAGGGTACAAATGTACAACTGACTCAAAGCAGAAGCACTGATCTATATGAAAATAGTTCCATAATTTTTATGGGTAGTATGCTAAGATTAATATAATATAAATGTAGTTGGAATGAATGTGAACAATTTGCATAAAGATTTCATTTCATATTGAAAACTTTAATTTAGTTAAAATTAACATTTCTAAAGGATATAAAGAAATATATTTAATTTTAAAAATCTCTTGAAGAAAAAAAAAACCCAAAGCAATATTCAAATAAAGAGAAAGACATGTTCAAGCAAATGAGGCACAATTCTGGAAGTAATCAAAAATAAATATTTTCAGATTTTAAACTCAATTGATTGCTTTCAAATTTTATTCAGAGGGGACATTCAGATTTTGAATGCACTGATGATAAATCCATTCAAATTCGAAAATAAAAACAAATAAAAACAAAAAAAAAACAAACAAAAAAAAAAAAAAAAAAAAACACTCCACTAGCCCACAAAATTAAAACAAAAGAAAAAAATTAAATTTATGATTTCAAAAAGTAGGTTAAAAAGCTATTAGAATGTGCAGGCAGACCTTTTATCATTGGGCCCAGTACATTTAAGAAAGGGATTAACAATAACCTTTAAGTAAGAAATTAATAAATCGTTAATGATCATTAAAAACAAATTAAGTATTTTGAAATTTCTTGGTTTGAATGCAGTTCTTCAGTTCATATTAAATTGCTAGTATTTCTATATTTCTTTCTAAACCAGTCTTTGAATGATAGAAATGAGAAAAAAAAGTGGGGGGGGTGTAGGGGAATTGACTAAATTCTGTATTTAGGACCATTTTGAGAAAAGAAAAAAAAGAGATTACATTCATTTTACATTTTCAGTTAGTAAAATGTCACTATGTTCAAAGTATAACATTTTCATTATTCAATTTGATAAAAAATGTTAATAAAATCTCAGCTGTGGAAAGAAATATAAAGGGGAGACAGGCCGCCTCCTTAAGGTAAGGCTTCAAGAACACCAAAAAGCTGGAACACGAGGGGGGAAGTGGAAAAATCAGGTGTGGCTGACCACATATGGAGAGAAAAGGGATCAGGTTGAGATCATAGACAAAGAACATCATTGGAAAATTCGTAAACTTAAGTAATCAGGTCATATGCTACGCCACAAAAATCTCCTGAGGTGACCAAGCATAGAAATGAATATAATATGGGAACCAGTAATAAGGAGTGCCAGAGAAAAGCAATAATAATGAAAATTGCATTATGAGCTCTGGTAAAAAAAAAAACATGCAATGATAACAGCAAAAATTGCAATATGAGTACTGGTAAAAACGATTGCTGAAGACATTAAGTTTATAATACCCAGAAATTCATACACAGATGTCTTCAAGAACACATGGCACAGTGGATAAAGATGTTTGTTAGATCCAGTAACAGGACCCAAAGAGTGTGAGTTCAATACCTGGTTAAGTGGAGAACATGGAGAGAGGAATTAACAGGAGATAACTGACATCCATTAGACGTGGAACTAGAACAGTCTAAAGGGTTCATTTCAACATTCTAACCACCTGAAGGCCAGAGCATACAATGGCTGAAACATGATAAATATGGCAACAAAGATGAGGATGATAGTCTGAACAATGTAAATAGTGTACCTCATCAGACAGATACTTAATGAAATCATTTTATTGATGATTCCAGATGAGTTGAGACTGCTCAACTCTTGAGTCAATGAGCTGAGTAATCAAAGATTTTGCTCCCCAAAAAACTTTCAAATGAGCATCATAAAAGATTAACTAATTTAATCCTAAATTCTTGGTTAAAAACAAAAGAAAACTAATGAATTAAAATATACAATTTTCCTAGCTTGGGAAAGTTACTTTTATGGTAAAAGTCACTTTCCCAAGCTAGGAAAATTGTACATTTTAATTCAAAAATTTCTCTAAACAGGAAATTATGCTAAAATAAAAAAGAATTCAGTGTTTTGGAAAAAGGATCAACAGGAAATCCTGTTTTATGTTGTCACAACATTATAATGCAGTAATTTCCCATTTTCTCTCAACCTATGCAATGTGTGGGAATTTTAGATTTAAATGCCATTTAATTTCAACTGATTTGACATGATTGTATAGATGTGAATTTAGCCTCAATTTTTTCTTTTCCAAAATTGTGTGCCTCATTTGCTTGAACATGTCCAGAAAATAGTTAATTTTTTTAATATAAATTGTGTAAGACTCACCAAAATTCTGGACAAGAAAATCGCTTTCTTATCTCTTTCTAAGTAAAAACTTGTTCCATACCAAGACATCCAAACATTTCCAAGCATACTACCTCCCAACAATTGAGTGATATAACGGTGGATATAATTGCTTTCTTTAGCCTAGAAAGAAAAACAAATGACATTGATAAAATTATCAATCTCTGTAATATCTCAAGTGGAGAAGGGAAATTGGCCTTAAACAATGGTGCATTTATTCCTTTTATTCAATAAAAATGTTTTGCATGATTCAATCCCCCACACTTTTTGTGATAAGTAATTTAAACAGAAATATAATTTATCAAATGTCAGATTTTACTATACAGTTAGGATTAACCAACAAACGTTGGTAAACTTTTAGGACACACACCGTATTAAAATTATTGATAAGAATATTTTTGGGGTATCAAGTTTTATGGGAGGGGATTTGGCTGTCAGTGTGCACATCTCTGTGCCTATGAATTGTAGAGATTTCATTATGGGGCTGCAAAAACTGCAAAGAAACTGAGATGCATTTTCAAGCAATTAATTGGGGGGGGGGTCATCTTCCTCTTCCAAAATTAATGGGGGGGGGTCATCTTCCTCTCCCAAAATTGAAGAAGTTTATAAAGGCAGATGAAAGAAGTCTGCAGATTGTTTCTTCTTCTTTTTCACAATGACCTCCAACTGAATATCTGAGGAGAATTGCACACAATTTTCAATAAATTTCTAAATTACTTTTATTTGGTTTTAAAAAGTCAATGAAAAAATTTCAGTTTGCATGTTGTTGAGTCAGTGGTGTTGAGTTGTCCTGCACACCAGATTTTATTATGCAAATTAAGTCTAACAATTTTTTTTCTACTTATAAATAAATCCGAATCATATAACCAGAAAAATATCATTTTGATTAACAAGTTATTTTACATATTATTAAATCTTCTTTCACATTCTATAATTTGTATCTGTCTTTTATTAATAGATTTTCTTATCTTTTCTGTTTCAAAATTTAACTATTTGTAACTGTTTTTATTGCTTCCTAGAAATGATTTTTGCTTGAATATTATTTTTCTTTCTCATGAACATCTTTTTAATGATAAATTGCAAGTTTTCTGTCGGAAAGGCTTATGGTCATTCCATTAATTTGATGTCTTTGAAACCTTTTATAGCAAGGCAGGCAATAGTCAGCTTGACATGAATATATTCTTTAAACATTTTTTGTTCAAGAACTTAAATAATTATCTGTATTTATTTTGAAACATTTTTTTTACTGCTTACTGAAACATTATTCCAGTTTCTCTTTGAAATGTTTACTTAAATGGAGTAGTTTGGTTGCTTTCATGTCCTCAGCCAAATTTCTTAAGATTCTGTATCTTTTCTGTTTATATTCACAAAACCAATTTTAAATATTTTTTCTTTTCTTGAGATTTATTCCCCAAATACTCTAGTTTTCAAACTTTGTGCCACGTTTTGATACTTTTAGGGACTGAAGATGAGATTTCTCAATTTTTCCATGTGACTAGCTAAATATTTTCATTTTTTTCACCAGAAAACTTTTTGGTTACTCGCTGTAAAACTGACTAAAAATCTATAAGGGTGTCAAATTCCATTAATTTCTAGCCAACAGATCAGAAGATAAAGATTTTTGTGAGATTGTTGAATTTGATAATGGAAATATTTGTCGATAGAAAATGCTGATTCAGCAAAATTTTAAATTGTGATATCTTGAGAATGGTTAAAATTCACTTAAAATTTTCAGAATTTTCTAATGACTATAAGATCTACAACATATATCAAAATGAAAACAAAATCTATTTTTTGAGTTACGTTTTTCTATTTCTTTGGGTTGAATTGACATGGAATGACCCCCTTGTCAATTCACTTTTTTGTTTATTACCATTTTAATTTTTTTTCTCTTTTTCCTGTTATTCTTAATGCCCATTTCTTCCAATGAACACATGCATATGAATTTTCTGTACTACCTGACCTAGAGATTGAACTACCAAGAAAATGAATATGTTATAAGCGATGATCTAATCCACTAGGCCATATGAGACAAGTGACATAGGGACTGGAGAGTAGTAATTGATACGAGTTATCTCCCTTAGGCATAGAAAGTGGAAAGAGAACATTCAAACCGTGTGGATTAAATAAAGGGTTTGATTCAAAAATAACTTTCAAGATCATTTTTCTTTGATAATTCTGTCTGGTTTACATTTAACACAATATTATAAACAATAAATAGCTTGAGAACATATAAGAAAGCTGTTTTACTTACAAAAAGCCAGGTGAAAACTTGTGGGAAAGCCATGAAAGCAAGCCCAGCAAGAAAGGTGATAAAAAAGTCAAGTCGGAACACCCAGGTCAAAGCACCACCCTGTTCATAGTGACCAAGTTTAGGATATTTGCGTAATATCTGTAAAGTATTGGCCAACAACCACAGAACTGTGCTGCCCAAAATGAAGTATGCAAACTAAAAAAGAAGAAAAAAAAATAATGGGTAACAAATGCAAAAGGAATCGCAGCCGAGTTAAAAATAAATTATTTGATTTGATTGAAGTGAGAAAAAAAACATTATACAGGAATCCTTTGATGTCCAGAATCGAGAATGTCACTTTGATATTTTTGCACATTGAATAGAGACCTAAAGGACGACCTGGGGCATTATCTAAAATAAGCAAAGATTTAAAATCTAAATTTCTTTTTTGGTAAAAGTCTTCAAGCATTGGATAAAAATATTTTACAGATCATTCTTCAAAGTTTTAGTTACCCACACTTTTTTTATTAGATTTCCATATTTGTAAGTGTCCTTGATTCATGCTTTTAAGAGATCTTGGATTCCGAGATTGATAAACCAACATAGGCTTTAATTTCAAATTTCCTTTAGCATTGCTGCCCAATAATAGGGTTAGTCTACCCTTTGCATTCTTATATCCTGGCTGAAAACTCTCAGATTTGGGCAGAAAAGTTTTGGAAGGCACCCTTTCCCAAACTAACCGTGTCTCATTGACATTAAAAATTTGTTCATTAGAATACCTTCCTTTTCCCACAATTTCCTTAAGATCTTCAGGACATATCAGCAGTAGCTTCCTTATCTGCAATTGCTGCCTCCCCTTTAATTCTTACATTATGCAAGCTAGCTCTTTTCTTGAACTTCCCAAACAACCCAGCACGAAACTCTTTTCTCTCATCTTTAAACTCTTCCTCTTTTAAGATTGAAAAGAGGCTTAATGCCTCTTTTATGAGATTAGCACTTAAAAGAATTCTTTTCTAGTTACACTCCTCTATCCAGATAGTTAGCAATCTTGATTATATTTTGAATTTGAGTTGTATGCACACATGATAAATTTGAAGCAGCCTTATCTTTCATTCTGGATTTATCAGTTTTAATTTTTCTCTTACTGTTCATTTGTCTAATTTGTACTCTAGGCCTATTTTTGATTTCAACATACCATCTTTACTCTTTCTAATTTTTCCTCTAAAAAATAACTTTTTGAGCTTTTTGTGTGTAATTTCACTTTTATCTTCACTTAGTATTTTGCTCATGTTTGGAAAACGGTAGCATGTTAAATGTTTAAAGTAAAAAAAAAAAAAAAAAAAAATCAAAAAATTAATTTGAAGATGCAGGAGTATCTATAGGCTAATAGTAGACAACTACAGTAGTGCTAAAAAAAAAAAAAGAAACAATAGATGGTTATAAATAGATAAATTTTATAAACCGATAATAAAAATACATATTTAAATATTTACCTCTATTAAAATATTAAAAGTTTTTGAATGTTTTGATTTTCTTTCATGTTTATTTTGAAGGTCTTAAAAAGAAATTAGTTTTACGTTAAAAAAAAAAAAAAAAAAAAAATAATAATAATTATATCCTAAAATTTACATCTATTAAAAAATATTGAAATATAAAACATGTATGCATTTACTATGGAAAGATTATAAATAAAATTTTCAGGTTAAAATACTAATAATCATGTTTGGAAAATTTCCAAAAATAGAAAATATAGATAAAATTAAAGTGAATATTTTGTTTTAGATTTTAATATTAATATTATGCATGATGAGCTAAAAAGCTCATCATGCATAATATTAATGCTCAGAGAAAAAAAGAAAAAAACCTTTGATGGATAAAGATTTTTTTTTTTTTAAATTGAAAGTAAAAAAAAAGTCAACAGCTGAGAGAACTTCTTTATGCATTTTTATGTTATTTTTCAAAAATTATTTTAATGACAATATGAACCCAATTAATATTTTCAAAAATATATTAAAAAAAAAAAAAAAAAAATAACTTTAAAAATTTAAAAACAGAAATGAAAAATAATATCTAGTCAAACCTACATCTGCTTTAAAATCCGCCTTTGCTCTTTTTTGCATTGAAAAAAAAATAGCTGAAAAATTAAATTTTTATCAGTGTTATTGGAGTAACATTGATAAATATTTAATTTCTCAGCTAATTAAAAGAAATTATAGATATTTGGAAATAATAATAATAAAAAAAAAATTTCCATTAAGACCATCAAAATAAATATGAAAAAAAAATCAAAACATTTAAATGTTTTTAATAGAAGCGAATATTCAAATTGGCTTATATTATTAAATTTATCTATAACTGTCCATTTTTTTTAGCTATTCTGTAATTACTTAGATAACCTATACTTGTCAAGCAAAATAGTTGTTACCCATTTTTAAGTTTTAGAAAATTTCTAATTATTTGGTGCAAAAAAAATATAAAAAAAATCAATTTTCAATTACTATGGTTAAACTGAAGAGTGTTTTACCAACACTAATTGAGTATTATTTATGCATTAAGAGATTCCTGTATAAGTATTGCCACTATCTTCCCCTCTTTATGATAAAAAGACATTTTTGATGGCAGCAGAAAAATTACTATAACAACCAATATAATGTAACAATCAGAAGACATCAATATACTTCTTATATGTCATCTCTGAAAGTTTTAGATTTTGCTTTTAGTAATAGTGGTTAAGAGAAGTGGCACAAAAATAATGCTTCTGTTACTACAAATGATATTTCTTTGAGACATTAAATCATTTTATTTTTTCTATTTCTGGTTACAAATGTCATACAAATATTTCACTGTAATAATTAGATACATAAATACATCTAGTAAAAAATCATTTTCAATAACAGAAAAGCACTAGAGCATTTAAAAATTATTGTTATGCCAATTTTTTTCATTGCTTTGGGGATAGTGGCTGAGCTGTTCTTGTTTTAATAATTTTTAAATAACACACTGTTTTAGAAACAATTAGAAAAAAGTGAAAAATTTTCAAAATTAGGCAAAGAAAGAAAATAATTTTGAAACTTACAAAGTCAGTGAATTTGTTACCAACATAAATCAGGTGATTTAACATGGTCAGGATTTGAAACAATAAACCCTAAAAAAGGACAAAAAAAAATTGATGACATATTTTAGAAGAGTGGTTTATTTCATTCAGACATTATTTGTTACAAGTTTGCATTGCATTTATAAAATATCACAAATTTCATGATACTTTTCATTTTCTTGTTCCATCAAAATTAAAGAGATTATTTATGTATGGATCATCATTTGTGTCTTGGATAAGAGAATGTGTGTGGTTACTTAAATTTATTGTTGCATGTTATTTCAAAATAGAAAAGAATTCTGCTTTTAAAAAAATCATTAAAAGTAAAAGTATCCAAAGAAAGTGAACATGGAACAAAAAAAAAGAAAGAAAGTAAAATATAGTCATGTAGTGTTATAACAAATTATGTTATAACCAAGTGCATTATTATCATAAACAACAGGATACCTCATTATCTGAAATAGGGGAGGTCAAGAGTGTGATTGATAAACAGAGTTATATTATTTTATATTTTAGAACAGATTGTCTTCATGTTAAAGTGCTAATTATGTTTTGAATAAACATAGTTAAACATTATAATCAATGTAGAAAAATGCATATATTATAAAATGGTTTCCAAAATCTACTGCCAAAATTTCTGCTTTTAAATCAACACAACTTTTTGTGGATGATATTTAAAAATAATATTTTTTACAAGTGAATATTTTTGCTGAAATCAAAGTAAACAAAAATGTGCAGCATAATTTTTCTTACTTTTCAAAAAGTAAAATTAGATTTTGCAGAAAATCTTTATGAAAGTTTTAGAATTTTCTTAATTACTATTTTGGTTGGGCATAGAATGAACAACATTCTTCTAAAGGAACTGGAATTAACTTTTCATAATTGATCCTTTTTCTTAAACATTTTCCATGCCTCAGAGTGAAAAATAAAAAGTACAGCTGTTTTGGGTATAGATTAAAACCTCACGAGTAAAAACAATGATTTTATTGGATATCAAGTCTGTTAAATGCATTCAATTACAACATTCAATGAAAGGCGAAATAATAAAATTATCAGAAAAAAGATCTTATTCTAACTTCTGTAAAGAAAAGTTAGTTTTACTTACCAAACTCCGTGACCAAAGCATTGTCCCAATAACTGACTCATCTTTGGATTTTCGACATTTGTACCAAACCACAGATGCTCCTAAGAGGATAGCTCCATAAATACGAACCAATGCTAGATGAGAAGACTGCACTGATTTTGCATCTGTTAACTTAACAAAGAGAAAAAGGTAACTTTCAATATTTAATATAAGGAAATATAATTATGTACAAGGTACTAAAGATTGGCAATTACAGTTATACTGCATTTTTATCCTTAAGTTCTGATGTTATATAATGAGGAATGAATTCAAAACTGTAAAAAATATTCTTTGTTGTTCTAAAATTAGTAAATTATTGAAGAATATGCAGAGAGCAAAAATTTTGTTTTAATGAAAGAGACAATCAGTTTCATTTTACAAAGTAATCATTCAAAATATAATAGATTATTTTATGTGTGATTGTTGAGTTAAAGCTACCTGCAAACATTGTGGGTGCTCACTAATACTCTCAGATCAGTATTGGAGATTCATTCATGGTACAATAGTTAGAGACCAATAAATTTACAGGTAGATACAATCAATATTTGTGGTTATCACTAAGTGCAAATTTTATTTTGCTAAACCCAACATTAAGAGACAATATGAATAATTCCCATTAAGTAACAAATAGATCTAAGCAATGTTTGCCCCTGCCTTATTATCCCACCCAGTCCTATCTGCCATCCATTTACACAAGCTCCCTAGGTAGGTTGACTCAGTTTCCCCTCTGCCTTTCTTGCTTTCAATCTGTCCTGTGAGTGCCAAATTCTGTGTGTAAGAACTGGTCAGAAGCACACACACACACACAAAAAAAACAAAAAAAACTATCTACAAGTCCAATAGGTAAATCAATTCCACAATTATCTCTGTTTCTCAATCTTAAGTACACAACCCCTCACCAGAAACAAGCTTTTCCCTGAATGAGTGTACTGTGCTTTTATGCACCATACCCAGCCATTGCTCACCCATGAACACCCCAAAAACAGTCAATAAAAATGGCTACAAGCGACACTACTACTACTACTGCCTGATTCACCTTCAGCCCAAAGCTCGCCAATTCACTGTCTCCACATAACATTGCAAAACATACACATGACTCTGGCCCTTTTGGGTCACTGAGGTAAGTCTCAGCTACATTCTCTAAGCCCTCTTTACTCATTATGCGTCCCATAAATTTCAACTGTTTTTTTCCTAATTCTAGCACTAGTGTCCTTTTTAACACCCCCTCCCCCATTTTCTTACTGCTCATGTTCTGCACATGATAAGCTCACCATCATTCTATAGAACGAGATCATTGTTACCTCAAGTCTTCCCAGGAGACTGTGCAACATTCATAGCTATATAGAATTGATATTACATAGCAGTTCAGCACTCATTTCTTTATTTCTAACAAAATTTTCCTCTTTCTAAATACTAATTTAATTTTTGGAAGGAATCTTCCACTATTTCAATACGTGCCTTTGGATTTCCATGTCATATTTTCCATCATCTATTATAACACTTCCTGGATAATTAAATTTCTGTACTGGCTTGATTTTGACATCTCCAGTTTGTAGCTTTGACGTGTTTATTTAACAACACATCAACTACTTGTAGGTTATTTAATGCTGAAATTTTTTTGGGTGCTTGAGTAATTTTTCTTTTTACAAAAATCTGTTGCTAGTAATTTGTTTATTTGTTATATACTTTTATTTATTTATTTTTTTTTACTCAAGTTTGGAGTGGGTCCTATTTGCCCATAGCTGGGACCCTAATAGATGCTACCACCCTGGGCCAAAGTGGACCTGAGAACATTAACAATTAAGAGGTAGTTTTCCCCACTTCTCAAAACCTCCTGATCAGAGGTCTTACTGCTAGATGTAGTTTCTTCTCCTACCCTGAACTTTGTACCTTTGATTTTGGGCTGCCTCTCTTGCTAACTACCATACATTTTCTCTAGTCCTTTCTTCCTACTTTCCTTTACAACATTATCTAGGAGGTTTTGAGGTTTTTTTTTCTGTGTCTGCCATCAACATGGTGTCATCTAATGTTGTTGCATCAGCAGAGACATAAATTACATTTATTATTGTTGTTTCTTTTGAAATTTGTGATTTTTTTAATAAGAGAAAACTTTTTTCATTAAAGCGTAAGAGAAAGAAATTGTAAATATTTTAAAACTAATCAACGATAAATATTGGGAAATGAATGCTAAAAGTATAGTCTTGCAATAAGATCATTAAAAACTACTAAAAATAATTCTTTTTGTTATATGGCATGATTGATTACAACTTAACCCGTTGTAGGTTATTTAAAGCCCAAACATTTTTGAAATGTATAAGAATAATCCTTTTCAAAATAAATATTGTATTAACAATTCTGGGAATAAGTATAAATTATGTAATACAGATTTTTCTGATACAACTTGCATAAAGATGAGTTGCAATAAGCTTCTTACTAAAAAACAGATTCTAGGACCTTTCTAAGTATAAACCGTACAGAGAATTAGGGTTGTAAACTTATATTTCTATTATTGAGGCCATCTCCTTTATGAATTGTAAAATCTCACTTGGTTTGCTATTTTCAAATAGTTCCTTTAGGTTTTGTGCTGTATAGTACTTAGCTTGTGTTTCTTGGAATTCACTAAAGATTATCAATACATGCACAATTGTGTATGGTTCCTGGCATGGCATGCATAACAGTAGTTCTTCATTTTTGAGTAGATATTGGCAGGTGATGTGTGTGCCTGCTAGGACCACCTCATCTTTTTATCCCTCTGTAGGTGAGGTGCCATTCTTCAAGGCTTGGCTTTATGTTGTGCAATTTGTTGCCCTGGCAGTTCCACAATTGTTGCCTTTCGTCCTTCATAAACTTGTTAATGGCTGGATGAAAATCAATGTAAGCAACTTTTGTATTTAAGGATCTTATATTTAATGAGTCTTTTGCTGCTTTATTGGCTTTTTCATTTCCCTGGATATTGATATGGCTCAGTAGCCAGCATAAGATAATATCTTTATTTTTGGTAAAAAGATTTATCTTGTTTATAAATTTAACGAGGAGGGGATTTTTGCTATGTAGTGATATAAATAAATATGGATTTAGAGTCAAAAAAGATTACGGTTTTATTAAGTTGGTTCTTTGAAATGATTTCTAGTGATAAAACTATGGCTAAGTCTTCTGCACTGTAGATCAAAGATTTCATATTGTTTAATATGGCTACAATGTCTCCATTTTTAGAATCATCTGTGTGTGTGTGTGTATATATATATATATATATATATATACACACACACACACACACACGGTTAGGATATGCATTTTTAATAATTTCTCATTCCTCTTTATAGGATATTGGACTAGTACTTACTTTGTGAAGCTTGGTAAGTTCTAATATGACTTTTGGTTACATTAGAAGTCAGGGTGATGTTTTTTATGAGAAAGCGTTCACGTACACATTGTGTGTTCAACTGGGTTTCAGTTGTGAGCTCTTCCAAATGTAGATCAAATGGTTTGTTTTTTCTTTTCTATTAAAGAGAGTCTTAATTTTAGTCTTAACTACGCTATTATGGGTAGGGTTTGATGGGCATGAAAGTAGTTTGGTGTACTACTGTGATGCCAGTTTTTGTTGCCTTAATGATAATTGGAGGCTTGTCTGCTTCAGCAGTTATTAAAAGCTGCCAGTGCCAGACCTTGATGGAATATTATTTCTAGTTCTTTCAAGTATGATTTTCTTACCGATCCATCGATAAAACATCCATATGTGCTATATTTGCTTATTTTATTCCTGAAGTCTGAATGAAATTCTGTTATTAACCCACTGGATTTTAAATTCCACATTAACCTGGTTTCTATCATTCAACTGATGAGTGCTAATGGTCTAGAATTTTGAGGGTTAGGTGGAGTGTTAATGTAGGTATAGGGATCACAGTGGCCCACTTCCATAGACTGGGAACATTACCACTGAGCCATATAAGTTTCTCAAAGATATTTGTGAGATATTTTGGGTAGTGGTCACAAAAATTCATAATGTACCCCATCAGGACAAACCATTGTGTTAGGAATTTTGGCCATTGAGTCTTTTAATTTGCTTAAGGCCTTCTGTTTTCTTTACTGTAAATTTGTTTTTCTTTTTTTTTTTGTCTTATATGTTGAAGTTTTGGGAGGAGGAATTCTATGCAAACTTGTTTGCCAGAGCATTTGCTATATGTGGTGAATGGTAATAATGGCACAAGATAAGAAAAACAAAAAAAAAACAAACTTAGATTTCATTCAAAACCAATTATTTTTTCTGCTAATAATGTATATTTCAATAGACTTATTTTTTCCTATTTTCCACTTGTGATCTTTTTACCTAAATTCACTATATGTTACTTAAGTTAAACATATAACAAATTTAGGCAATAAAGCAGTTTTTTGCCTGTGATTGGTTTATTATTTAGATTGCGATGTTTTAGTGGGGAGCTATTATTATTCCCCTCTATCTTTTTTGATCACGTCCCATACAGTTTTGGTATTCATAATTTATTTTAGAATATGCACAGTTCTTCAATGAGTTTCACGATAGCAGTTTTGTCTAACTAAATCTGCTGAATTTGGTTTGAGGTGGAAGATTTTGTTATCCTCAGCTATGAGTGTAAGTAAAGGTTTTGGTAAAATAAGCGAGGTGGTCCTCACTGTTACTTGATTTGGAAGTTAGTTTGTCTTGGCATTGTCTTAGAAGAAGAATCTTTCCCAGTTAGAATTTTGTAGTTTCCATCGTCAAGCTTACCTGAAAGTTTCCAGATGTTTTAAAGAATGCTGCAAGTACTTTCAAATTAAAACTTTGTAGATCAGATAAAAATAAGGCATATCAATTAGAAAAGTAAAATTTTGAATAATAAAAAAAAACAAATTGAGTGGGAGATTGTTTTCCCCTTCCCTGAAAAACATTTAATTTTACTAATAGAAGACTTTCCGCTTATAAAAATAAATAAAGTCACTCTTTCATTTTTTTGCTTTGTAAACTAAACACTAATTAAAAAGAGAACATTTTTACGCTGAACTGTTCCTCTACTAAACGTTAACGGTTAAATAGTTAAATTAATTGAGGTTTTTTAGTTTTATCAACAAAAAAATGTAACTGTTAGTTATATGTCGTTACTGTAGCTAGGGTGAAACTGAAAATAGTTATTTAAATTCGGATGTAACTGGCCTGGTTATTTTATTAAATTATTAACTGCAATATTATTTTGATTTGGATGAAATTGGTAGGCATGTTCATGAGATCCATAAAAAAAGTAGCATAGCATGAATAAAAAAGGCCTTAAATGCATATTCCTTCCCATTTCATGTTTCGTCTGGACAGAAGAAAATTGTCGTTTGTGATATAGGATTTGTTGTTGTTTCTTTTTAGTTTAAACAATCGAAGTATTTTCTTCACTAAAAAAAAAAAGAAATGCACATTCGACTTTCAATAAATAACTATTGTACAAAGAAAAAATAGTTATTTATTTGTGATGGGACAATACAATTAAGCAATTTTTTTTTTTACTTAATTCCCACTAATTTAAATGATGATGAACATTCAACTAGATAAGAAGAGTTATACAGAAATATTGTTAGAAAATCCGACGCATTTCAGTAGAGGTCCAAAAGTCAATTACCGAAGAGTGAAGTTTTAATTTTAAATTTTAATGACTCTTACCTGTCGAGTGAGGAATTCATGTGGGAAGAGAAGGGAGCCGGTCCCCACTACAAATGCCAAAAGCATATCGGCTTTAAGCCACATTTCCTGACCCTGGAACAGTGTGGATACGAATGCCAATCCCATAAATCCTATTCTAACGTAATCGTAAACCTTTAATTGTAGTTCAATCATTGTTAATAAAATGATAAACTAAAAGAACTAACTCAACGAAAAAATAACAGTTTCGTTCTGCCGCCTTTGTCCGTGAAGTAACGCGCATGCGCGGATACACGATTTTTTTCGGCGCGTGCTAAGGGAAGTAATCGGAATATTTAACTGTTAAACGTATTTTCTACTTAATGCATACTTTCTGTTTAATTCCATGAATCAGTCTATGTGTTTATTAATCGTGCGCCCACTCGAAAAGAATGTGGTACAATGTTAAGTTTAAAGTGGGAAATCCACGCATACATGAGATCAGAGATAAAAAAAAAATATTCCAGAATACATTTTTTTGGGGGTGGGGACCTCAAGCTTCAGGGATTTATCTTTGCCCTCACTTACCCATAAGAGATACTCTGATAACTCACTGGCTTACTAAAGCGAAATTTTATTAGTGTGTGTTAAGATATTGTGCATTATATGGCGGAAAATACATTTTAAATATTTTATATTGCATTTAAACAAACAAACCTGTCACTAAAAGACAGTCAAAAATGTTTTGTTTGCCTGCATGGAAATTAAGAATGTTGTGAGGGAACTTGCATCTAAGGTCTTCTTGTCACATTTTTGACATGATTGCTTTGACGATACTTTTTCAATACTTACAGGAAAGTAACTATTAAATTTTATGTTCAAATGTTTTTTTTCCTTTATAGATTACTTAATATCAGAGTTGGCAAATTTTGTATCGATTTTCCCCTTTTAAAATGAGTTGATTTTTTTTCACAACCAACTATTCTCAAGGTAAAAAAATAAAATTTGCCACAACCAAGACAGTGAACACATTCAAACATGTGTCAGAAACAAATCCTAAAGCAAGTAGAAAGCAAAATACATAATAATGGTTGACCCTAATTCTGAACTCCTTCAATGGCATACTCTCACTCTATTGTGCTTAGTCAGGTATGGCAGTCTTGCTTTGCTCCCCAGTAACTTGGCTTTTTGCACCCTCATTGTAAATGACTGTAGTTTCAGTGGATGAGGACAGTTGTTTCTGCTTACAGTTCCTATGCATTCTGGCCGCTTTTGGTGATGCATGTCATCTATGAAGTAGGAGGTTGGCAATAACAAACAGACACATGAAAAATGGAATGAAGATATATTTATTTTGGTTCTCTATACATAGAGTGAAGATGAAGTGAAATGAACTCAAGTCTTATAATCACTTTTTAGTAAGTGATTATAAGACTTGAGTTCATTTCACTAACATGTGTGCTATCCATCTCTTCATTGTAAAACTTGAATCTGAAGCAGTTGTTATGGGTCACTAACCAACTAAGCAGCTTAAAGAGAAAAAAGACTTTGGGTCTGGTGTTACCTCATTTTATTTTTGGTACATGCACTTAGTAACTCCTGATGCTTGATTACATTTTGTCTAATGTCTTGACTGATTTTGTTGTAATCCACTCTTTGGGTTCCTTTCTTTCCTGAGGTCTGTATCTTGATAGTTTTAGCTTGACTAATTTCATTGCTACGTCACAACATAGAGTTATTAACAAAAGTTTAAGACCACTTTGTAATTTTACTATTTTCAAGTTAAAAACAACACAGTAAAAAGTAATTTTTGAGAGACTGACACAAATTAACTCACAAATTTGTAAATGATGGTGTTCTCTATTCAAGTAAATTAAAATAACCCAGTGGTAAGTATTTTGTATTTCCCCTCCTTACTACTTGGATGTGGTGGAGCATGCTGAAAATCAAGTTATTACAGTCGTCAGTCAAGATATCTTTTGCCCAGACTTCTTTAATAGCCTCTCTTAGTGCTTTGGCATTTGAAGGTTTTTTTTGGCAACTTTGTTTTTGACAATTTCCCATAAATTTCTACTGGGTTTAGAGCCAGGCTGTTTCTTGTCCAGTTTTGTTCAGTTTTGTCATGTTGATCCTGTTGAAGAAATTCCAAATGAGCTTTGACCGGTGGCATGGAGCATCCTCATGCAATGTGCATATGCAGTTCCAATTTCACCTGCAGTAGTTCCACATACCTAACACCATTCACCATTGTTCCTATTAAATTAAAGTCCAGCTGTTTGAGATTTAGTCATGACACTCCAAATCATCATTAGCAGTCATTGTCATTTGGACACATGTTTGTTTTTAATATGTTTCTTGTGTGTCTAGGGTTTAGTATATGGCTTAAGTTTATTTACTGATACTTGTGTATGTATGACAGTGTTTGTTTCTTGAAAATGGTGCTTGGGTCTCTTGCCAGGAATCTATAAGGTAAAGCACATTTCTAGGAGTTTCCAAACTCAATCCACATGAACCCAAACTTCATCACAGGACTTATGATTAATGGGGATTGTTATGTCCACAAAATACATAAATAAAAAATTAATTATAGTGTTAAAAATAATGATAAAAATATAATTATAACAATTATAATTATTGTTAATTCACTCTTTCTAAACCAATGTGAATCAACTCCACTTTTTTCTTCTACACACACACAAACATGTGATATTCTCACTATTGGACAGGCCATCAACAAAAATTTGGGTTTCTTTTCCTTTTTCAGGCTATAATAGTAACATTTATCGTTTAGCACTCAATAAAACTTTGAGGTAAAAAAAAACCCAGATACTTCTTGTATTTTCCAACAATATTATCTGGACATTCATTGCATACATCTATAAAAGACATACAAGAAAGATTTTACTTGTTCTTTATCTTATTCTTTTGTTGGATTCTGATCTATATTTGATTTACATTTGATCCCAAACTCATAATTTTGCTCAGTATTACTGTCTCTCGTATCTTATAACATGCGGATAATAAATAAAACTTGTTTTGTTGTTTCTACATCTTACTGTTTCTCATTTTTATGAGTATTTTTGTTTATATAAATGTTATGGGTTTCTAATTATTTACAGTTATAACTTCCTTACATAATAAATGTTTTGATGCTATTCTGTTAATATCATTTATTAAAGTCCTGTAAAGTGGATAGTGACAGTTTATTGCATAAATGTTTTATTAAAATGTTATAGAACAATGTTTCTACTGTAATTTCAGATTGGTTGATAAATAGCAATAAAAAATTATCCCATGACTGCAGTGAGTGTTTTTAATGTTCTGTGCATTCTCTCAACTAAGTCATTACATTGCAGGTGATATGTGGTAGTTCCTAATCTATAGAAGTCTACAATATTCACTAATTCAAGAAACAACTCATTCTCAAATTGATTCTTCTATCAGTGACTATGTAAAGCAGAACTCTGACTCTAGTAAACCATGTGTGTTTGTGAAAGTCTTTTGTATAGCCATCTTTGAATATGTTTTTTTTTGGCATCTAAATTGTTCACTGAACTTATCAGATTCTTGATTATTTTTAATGGTTTATCCTTTCTATCAATAAATGTTGTTTTTGTTTTACTCATGTTGAATAACAAAGTCTTGTTTTTTTCATTCATTCATTTGTCTGGGATGACAACTTAGTATTATATAACAGGAGGCTTTGCACAAAAACTCTTTCTCTGACCAAATCAAGGATTAAGAAGTTGATATACTTCATCATATACAGCTACACACAATTACATAACTGGTAAGCACTAAGCTAAAAGAAGCTTCTATAATGAAGAAATTGTTTCTTTAAAAGAATCTACTGAATGCTAAATTTATCCACCTGTTAAAAGAACCAAATACAAGTATTCTTTTCTTGTATTTCAAACATTCCACCAGTTTCTCTGATACAAATTGTTCCACTTGCTTTCCATGCTGCTACCAGAAATAGTTACAAAATAACAGGCTTCCATTTTAACAAACAAAACCTACTACTGTATTTTGCTGCTTATAAGACATTTTTTCCTGTAAAATATCTCCAAATACCAAACTTCATCCTATAAATCAAAGTTTGGTGATGAGAGTTAAAAGTTTGGGATGTGGGGTGAGCAACAGCTCTCCAGTTACATTGGATTCAGAATCAGCACTTAAAAGTAAATCAATTCCAATGTTTCAAAATTAACCTTTTTAAGAGAAGCTATTTATATACTGGGATATTGACAGGAAATGAAATTCCTGCTTAAGTAGCATCTTTTTTTCCTTTCTTATTTCTTAAACAAAGAAACGTCATTTTTAGTAGACACTTTATGAGTAATACTAATCTTTTGTTAGCACATGCTGGGTATTTTCACTTGATTTAAGTAATTTTACAGTATTTAAAGGTGCTAAATAATGCTAAGAAAATACAGTAGCCTGCCAACAGCTGAAACAGACATTTTTGTTTATTGTCATTAGCAGTGATGCATCAATATGTGCCCCAAAGTCCTCATTATATAGAGTTGTGCATACAGCAGTGAATTGGCTATCAGTGGCCCTGTTTCATGAGTTCAAACTGTAAATTGAGATACCATAAATTTAGTACTTCTTTTCAGCCTGTGCTGAATTTGTTGAGGTAGCATCTGGCATATGTTAATAAATTGTAGCAGTCAGTAGTTCATGATGTGATTGATGATTAATAGTTTGTTTGTTTAAAAGAAATGACCCTTTTTGGGTTGCATGATTTACAGTTAATGAAAAATGCTAGAAATATGGTTTATTTTGTGCTGATGAGTTTGCTCCTGCCTCAGCCATTCTAAAACCAAATCTTCATTTCCAAAGGATCCTCTTAGCCACTAAATGGTGTGACATGACAGTGGTTCATTACTGCTTATTTCTCCAGCTTTTCATTCTTTATTATGTATCCAAAAGTTTCAGCTATCTCTTTCAGAAGCAACATTTCCTTTGTAGTTCCTGTTCTGCTCAAAGCTTACCCATTTATCACATCTGGCCAAGATGTTCTCAATAATGTTTTATACATCTATTTAAAAAGATATAATTTTGAAGGCATTATTACCTATTGAATCTTTCCTTCATTCTCATTA